AACATTTTTTGCCCTTCTCTGTAATGATTTGGATAATGTGCTGGCTGTCTGTTTCTGGAGGACAGAGGAAGGGGGAAGGGGAGAAGAGAGCAGAGATGGAGCTCTGTATGCCTGTAACTTGCTCTCCAGAGGATTCTGTGGAAAGCATGTGGAGAGGGGACTGCAATGTTTTTAAGCTTGGAGCATTTTGTAACTTTCAGCCAGTCTTTCTATTAAAAGGTGAGCAGGCTAGCGACAGCCAGCTGTAAGAGCATTTATCTAGTGATTGTTTTCTTCCATACATGGGTTTGAAAGACCTGGAAAGGCATGTAGAACCATCTAATCATTTATGTCGGGAAAGACCCTTAAGATCGTTGAGTCCAACCATTAACCCAGCACTGCCCAGCCCACCACTAAACCATGTCCCTAAGTGCCACATCTACATGTCTTTTAAATGCCTCCAGGAACTCCACCACTTTCCTGGGCAGCCTGTTCCAATGCTTGACAACCCTACCCTTTTGGAATGCTTTCCTAAGAACCAATCTAAACCTCCCCTGGAGCATCTGAGGCCATTTCGTCTTGACTTGTCATTGGTTCTTTGAGAGAAGACATTGACACCCACCTGTGTACAACTTCATTTCAGGTAGTTGTAGAGAGCAAGAAGGTCCCCCCTGAGTCTCTGTTTCTTCAGGCTAAACACCCCAAGCTCCTTCAACCACTCCTATGCTTTCCTAAGAACCAATCTAAACCTCCCCTGGAGCATCTGAGGCCATTTCGTCTTGACTTGTCATTGGTTCTTTGAGAGAAGACATTGACACCCACCTGTGTACAACTTCATTTCAGGTAGTTGTAGAGAGCAAGAAGGTCCCCCCTGAGTCTCTGTTTCTTCAGGCTAAACACCCCAAGCTCCTTCAACCACTCCTCACCTGTCTTGAGGTCCAGACCCTTCACCAGTTTTATTGCTCTTCTCTGGACACACTTCAGCACCTCAATGTCTTTCTTGTAGTGATGGACCCAAAACTGAACACAGTACTCAAGGTGTGGCCTCACCAGTAGGGGGACAGGGGGGACAATCACTTCCCTAGACCTGCTGGCCACACTATTGCTGATCCAAGCCAGGATGCCATTGGTCTTCTTGGCCACCTGGGCACACTGCTGGCTCGTGTTCAGTGGGCTGTCAACCAGCATGCCCAGGGCCTTTTCCGTCAGGCAGCTTTCTAGCCCCTCATCCTCCAGCCTGTAGCACTGCATGGGGCTCTTGTGACTCAAGGGCAGAACCCGTCGCTTCATCTTATTGAACAACATACAACTGGCCTCAGCCTATGGATCCAGCCTGTCCACATCCTTCTGCAGAGCCTTCCTACCCTCCAGCAGATCAGCACTCCCACCCAACTTGGTGTCATCTGCAAACTGACTGAGGGTGTATTTGATCCTCTTGTCCAGATCATTGATAAAGACATTAAAGAGGACTGGCCCCAGTACTGAACTCTGGGAAACATCACTTGTGACCAGTCACCAGCTGGATGTAACTCCATTCACCATCACTCTGCAGGCTTAGCCATCCAGGCAGTTTTTTTTACTCAGTGAACAGTCCACCCACCCAAGCCATATATATGCCTTGTAGCTACCATTTACTGTATATGGCTTTGACACTGTCTTCCCTGTCATTCATGTGAGTTTTGCTGGAGTTTGGTGGTAAGTGACAGTGCTGTGAAACCAATGCCTAGTTGGGTTTGATTTTTTACCATAAAGAAAGGCAAGGGGAGTAGGCTGTAGACTATAGCCTACCTCACAGAAGAAAAGGCACCATAGACTTATCTCTGTTTTTTCAAGCTGATGCTGATAAATCTTTTCTCTCACTTCTGTTGCTATGGTGTTAGTTCTTTGCAAAAACAAACCGTTGGGTGATCATGTCAAATGCAAATATCGTTTGGAGAGAGAGATGCTGAAAGGCAAGGGAAGTAGGAGGACTCAAATTCCAGTTGATGACAAACAATGAATCAGTGTTTGTCTCAGCAGAGGGCCATCAGAAATTTTGCACTTTACTTTCACGGACTTCTTTTTGGGTCTGATACTCCACTTGAAAAGGCTTCTTTTTACCTTCTCAAATATTTTTTTATTCTACTTTTACTTTTTTTTTCTTTTCTTAGTGTATAAAAGGAAGGTGGATCTCTTCCAAATTCCACACAGCCCAGGAATATTTGCTTTCTGTAGCATGGCTCGGAGCACAGAGAACTTATTCTTGCAAACAGTTTGATCCTCCAATCCGCGAAATACCAAATCATATTTTGAAGGTTTTTGTGGCTGAAATGTACCTGCTGTCCTTGTTGAGCCAATTGAAGTGGTTACTGAACTTCCTACCAGAGAGGCTACCTTATCATGCTGTCATTTCTTGCATTGCTTTCCTGGTGAAGGGAAGCAAAACAGAGTTATGGAGAAACCTTTTTTTAACACTTTCTGATATGCAGAGTAGGTGCATTTGGTTTCATTCTCAAAATATGCCAGTTGTGTTTAGCTGGCACAACTGTTGTGAAGAAGTTATCTTGCCCAGATGTCTTATGCTTCTGGAAAACAGAAATGCCTGGATGTGCCTTGGAGGCTTTACTTCTATACTGGGGTCAAGGCTGAAAAGGAGGACTGTTTTCTTGTTTCTGAATGTTTCTGTGCAGATCGAGCTGCAAGTGCAGGAAGAATGTAGAGGGGTAACCAACCTCAGATACTTATTTGCTGCTTCTTTTTCACTGTTTTTCAAACTGGAAGTCCTGAAAATAGATGAATTCACATTTTTGTACCTTGGCAACTGGGAACTTTCTGACCTAGTTAAATGGACCCTTTGTTTTTCTGTTTCCTTCCAGATGTGATAGGCAGATGGAAAAAAATCAGAAAAAGCAGTGTGATCATCTGAGATTTCTTTTAAGGATATTAACTGATTTTTCTGGAACTTGGTTGCAGAAGTAGATTATCTCCTTCCATGTCCTTAGCCAAGCTGCAATTTGCTTCATTTTGCCTGAGTTTTGCAGACACCTATGCTTTCCTTTAGCCTTTGTGCTGCACTACGTGTGAGAGTGAAGATCTAAGTGCCAGGGCAGCTAGGCCTTCTGTGGGCTCCCTCACCTGGGCACAGCTTATTACCCACCCCTGAGCACCTGCATCAAGCCTGTCCTGTTTGTCTTTACCATTGCTGCTCACCTGTGTGTGACCAGTGCCTCTGTTCCTGGAATACAGACAGACAATACATTTTCCAGTTGTATTAGAATCTACATGAGGACTTCAGAGGTCCTCAAACTCTAACTGTTAGTAGGAGCATATAGTAATGGGCAAGCAAAGGTGGTCTCTGTGGGAGGAATTGGAGTCTTGCAGTTTGCTTTTGTGCTGTAGGTTATTCTGCTCGGTTAAGCCTGGCTTAGATAAGAGCTGACTACACAAGAAAAGCAATTCTGCTTTGTGGATCAGTTAGATTAGCAACTAGCAAATTAGTATAAGGCTGATAGATCTCTGATTCTAACGTGTCTTATCATCACCTTCCTTAAGGCACTAACTCCTTAATTCAAAGCAGGGCCACTTCTGTAAGGTGTGAAATTTTAGTAGGACAAAACTCAACTGATGAGACAGAGAATCATCAGCCTCTTCTGCCCAGCATTTCTCTCCTTCCTGTGCCTTCCACTCCCTCTTTTGCCAGAGCTGAATAAAAGGGATAGCAGCAATGGAAAGGAGCATGCATGTAGCCGTAAAATCAGATCCTGACTTTAATTCAGTGAGCACACATCTGTCTTTCCTCTCAAAGATGTTCCTGGTGTGACCTTTACAAGCTTAAGTTGCCACTGATGCGGTAGATCACACCATTGGTTGAAGAGCAGCTTTTGTGCTGTGAGCAGCCTGGTGTGATGACTAGAACATGAGCCAGTTCTGGCACTTACACTGTACTAATGTTAAATCTCATAAGTAGCTTCATGGGATCATTAAGTTTGGTTGGGATCTTAGGGGTCTGTAATACATCATCTTCATCAAAGGAGATTTGGCATTAAATTTAAACTAAGTTCCTTAGGGCTTTGCCAAGTCAAGTGTTGAAAACCTTGAAGGATGGAGATCCTAGAGCCTCTGTGGGACTCTGTGCTGTCCTTGTGGTGGATTTTATTTCTGATTTAGTTGGAATCTCCATAGTTTTGATGTATATCCTGATAAATCCAAGCCCTCACAATGACATTGGCCACGTCTCTTAGTATCCTTGAGTGCTATTGGACTACTACCCATCAGGTCCAGTAACCTTCTTTGCATTAGTATTTTCTCAAGAGAAATTTCTTCAATCCATTTCCAGTGCAGGTGGTTCCTCTGCTCCTTGAACTCTGTCTTGGTACTGAGGACCAAGCCCTGTGACACATTGCCATCACTTTCATGCCTTCCTGTGCTGTCTGGAGCAGAGTTTCTGCATACCCCACCTCAAATCTTAGTCTACTACCCAGCTAACTGCCAAAGTCTGCTCTTGGGAGTTCTCCAGGAGCTGCACCCCTCCTCACCAGCTAAATAGCTGTCCCTGTAGGAGAGGAATTTGCACAGATCCTGAGTCACTTGCTTTTGTGGTTCCTGTATTGCAGTACTGGGCATTGTTTTGTGCAGTCCCAAAGATTGAAAGGCATGGCAGACATTCCTTTTGTTAGTGGTCTTAATCTTTGTTGGCTCATTCCTTTTGCATGTATGAGAATTTACAGGTAAACTGAGCTGAAAAGGGAAATGTTGGCTCAGGGTGGAGAAGCACAGGAGGGTGTTTGGATGGAGGGTGCTTGCCTGTGACTTCACTGCTTTTTCATGGTATTAGAGCTACACTGCTGAGAAATAAGTGTCTGAGTAAAGTTGTCTAATATTTAATGAAGTGTAAATTCTCAGGGATATGGATAACATGCCAAAATAAAGGCATTGTGCAAAGTAAATGCCTTCTGTGTGACAGCAACACCTTGGATGGTGACAGGGATAAGAACCTCAGATCCTCCATATATTAATAAAAGTTTCTTTCTGGTTTTTTTCAGCTTGACCTCACTAAACCCATTGAAGATCAGGGCCCTTTGGATGTGATCATACATAAACTGACAGATGTCATCCTTGAAGCAGACCAGAATGACAGCCAGTCACTGGAGTTGGTTCACAGATTCCAGGTAAGCGGCTCTTTCGTGGTCTGTCTGCATTTCAAGCAGGAGGATGATCTTGGTGCAGCAAATTCAGTCTGATTACTGTGCAGTTGGTAGGGGTTTGATGAAAAGAGCCCTCTGGCACACTGCTGCCCTGCAGCCCAGCAAAAGTAGTTTTGTCAGTCTAAAATGGACTTGCACCTTGGAAAGGTTTTATATTGTATTGGTAAGGTTAGTAAGAACTCATTTCCCACCTAATGTCCTGATGTCATTTCAAGAACATTAGTGCTGTTCACAAAGGGGAGCAGGTGTTTGCAGAGCCCTTTGCATGCAGCTCCATGGCAGAAGCCACTGAATTGGCCCAGTTCTGTCTAGTCTTCCCAGTTCCTGGAATGCTAATTTCTGTAACATCAAGGTTGTTGTGAGTGATTCTGTCCTCTAGTGCTGAGAATCCTATTATATTAATTTTTTTCCCCTCAGGTTTCCACTGAAGGTCAGAAATATGCAGGGCATAGGGGTTTTCCCAAAGAATTCCTATCAGTAGTTTGAATTCTGATGAAAGTGATAAAACATCTTTATAATTTTAAAAGGTGTTTCTTCTGATGGATATCTTTGATAAAAGGTGTATTTTTTTACTTGCTAGAGTCAATATTCTCTTTGCACTCATTACAGAGCTTTTCTGCTTCCTCCCACCTGTGTATTACTCAAATATACAGGACATGAAAAGGCTTTCTTGTGGGTCTGACCCTCTGGCGCCAGCTCTCTGAATAGCAGATGACTATTCATCACTAAGTAGGGCAGGCATACACTTCCCACAGCGCAGGAAACTTAGGAATGTCCAAAGAAGCATACAGAGAGATGAACTACAGAGTCTGTGTGCTTGCAGTCTTGCCACATTTCAGATGTTAACCAGTTTCCTATCTCATCCATGTGAAAAACTGTTGACCAAAGAGTTGTATGTATTAGCTGATTAAAACACATGAAAACAGTTCTTGGGACTTGGGGTTTGTTTCTTTCTGTTTTGAACTCTCTTATGAATTTGTAGTAGCTATGATGTCATCTGATTTACAGACCAAGTTATAATACACTGATGCCTGATGATCCTTCTTTAGAGTGTTCTTTAGCATAGCCCAGTGGATGACTTGTGGCTGAGCTGGCCACAGTCATGTAGTTGAACTAGAAGGTAGTTTCCCATTTCTGGACTACGCACGTTTCTGACTGTAGGTATGGAATTATATTCTCTCAGTGTCTTCAAAACTCATTCACTAGAAAAAGGTTTTCTCCCAGTGCATTCCAAACTTTGGTAGTGAATGAGATAGAGGGTAGGGACCTCTGTGAGCAGCCTGCTGAATGGTATCCTCTCCCCAGTAAAGCAAGGCCTTGGGCTTCTGCTTCTGAATGTGACTGAGTTGTGCCATGTCACTGGCATGCAGGAACCTTCCATGGTAGTAAAACATGTACCCAGGAGCTAGACAGGCCTATCTGCATTGAATTGCATTCCAAAATGTGTTTTTAGGATATACTTTCATGTATTTTGTATCCAGGGCAGAAGCTGCCTGGAATTTGTACCTGTCTCCATCTGTCCTGTATTAGTTTTAAACTATTGAAACTTGCTAGAAATTAAGAGAGGTATATTCCCCAACAAAAAGAAATTGTGAAAAAGAAATCCATTTATATAAAGTGGGGTCTTTTTGGTTTTCTTTAACTAACATAAATGAGCAACCTAAAACTTACAGTCACCCCATGCTAGAGAGTTACTTATGTGTGTGAGGTGTTATATAAGCACTGTGGTATTTCTGGCACCTACACACAAGTGGAAATAATGTGGTTCCCTTATTGTTCTTCATTAAGTTGTCTGAAAAAGTTCTGATGAGCTTAACCAGACCAAACAATGCAAAATTCATTATGTTTTTTCCCTACTATTGAATAGAAGTGTAACAGCACGATGATACCTGGCACCAGTCTTATTGTTGGCTTCATAAAGCAGTTGTCCAGGAAGCAGAGAGCAAGGAATCCTTGGCCACAGGAGAAGGAATGAACTGCCAGGCTACATTTATGGCCTTTTTAAGAGTACCTTTTCGCAGAGCTGTACTGGAGAGGCCTTGACCGTCTGATCTGCAAGAGCTGAGGAGGAAATTGGCTTCACATTTGCATGGCTCTGTCTCTCTGCAGATCTGAATCTTTGATGAACTGTTGTATGGTCTGCTGGATAGTGCTACCAGAACAGGAAGCCTCTTAGCATGCCCTTTTTTTTTTTTTGTCATTTAATGGCTATTCTCAATTGCCTTGGGAAAAAAAAAAATCACTGCAGGAGACTGAAAATGGCATGGAGGAGTTGCCTGTTGCCAGTGGGATATTTAGCTGCAGAAGACCTTTAGAGCTGAGCTTTCTGAGGTCTTTGTGCTAGTTGGATGTGGTCTGGACTGCAGTTTATCAGGAGAGTATTGGTAGGTGCAAACTGTTCTCCACTGCACTGAAAATCAGTGATGAGTGCCTAGTGATCTCATCCAAAGCCAAAACAAGAGACTGCATGTGGCACAAAGTGCAGCACATGAAGTGAAAAGTAGAGAGATCTTTCTGTTTGCTTTTTAGGACATGTAGATCCTTATTTTGGGGTTGATGATTATTTGTAGAGATGATGGTCAGTCTCTCTTCCTACCCACTGTAACACTGGTCTGAACTGATTGAACATAGTTTATTTGTTGTCTGGTCACAATTGGGTATAGTCCTTGGTGGTTCCTTCTTGGCCAGAAGAACATGGAGGAAAGTCAGGTGAGAAGAGTCCTCAGGGTGCCTTTCACTTACTGGTGCTACAGTTCCTGCCTGCTTGGTAAGAAAGAAAACCAAACTACCCCATATCCTGCTTTCTAGGCAAAGTATATGGCTGTGAAAACTGAGTACGTTTTGGCTTGCGTGAGACGTTGGGGAATCTTTGTTATGCTTTCATTAGAGCAAAATGCTCTCTGAGCAGCTGCCTGTCATAGCTGTGCAGGGGCTTGAGTGGCTTCATTCATTACAGCTTCATATTGGTCTGTTCCATTCAAAGTGATGGCTCAAGTGATGGAAAATCAATAGGGTTATTTGTCTTCCAGAGCTTTTTCTGAATGGGTTTCCTTTGCATTAGCCTTCTTAAAAAGATAGATCACAAGTCTTCTGCTATCAGGTTGATGAAAATTTAAAATGTTTCTTCTCCTGCTGCCCTCGAACTGCTGACTCTCCCACTCTGGAGTTATCCAGGATGGACTCTTCTATTCTTGAGAGATTTCTTAGAGTGGAAAGAGTTAGAGGATTGCTCAGCTGAGAAAATTCAAGTGAAAAATCAAAGGAAACTGTTATTAATTCTTAGGGGTTTGGGGTTTTTTTCTTATTGGGACGACAGGGTGAAACAAACTTGAGGTTTGTTTCAAGGTTTGCAAGGTTTGAGACCTTGCAAACAAGGTCTATTTGCACATGAATTCATAGGCCAGTACCTGTGTTTGTTCCATTTGAAAAACATTTATGTCTTAAATTTGTTGAAAGAGCCTCATAAGTAGCAAAATTAACTAAAATTTGATAATTCAAGTGCTGTTAGGATAGCTTCCCCCATGGGAAGGTATTTGCAAGCTGGAGCAGCAGTGTACTCTTGTTAGGAACTGCAATGATAGGGCAAGGGGTAATGGATCCAAATTGGAGGAGAGGAAGTTTAGGTTAGGTATTAGAAAAAAGTTTTTTACTGTAAGGGTGGTGAGACACTGGCACAGGTTGCCCGGGGACGTGGTGGCTGCCCCAACCCTGGCAGTGCTCAAAGCCAGGCTGGATAAAGCCTTGAGCAACCTGATCTAGTGAGGACATGTCTCTGCCCATGGCAGGGGCTTGTGAGTAGATGATCTCTAAGGTCCATTCCAACCCCTAAAATTCTGTGATTCTTGAAGGGTAAACAGGGCAGCTGAGTACTCAAAAAGTTGCTTTGAGATGTACAGGAAATAGAAATGTAAGAGACATCTGTTCCCCCTTGCTCTTGTCACACCCCTCATCCCTCCCAACCACTGCAGACATCTCCTTTGGATTTAGACACAGGATTTTGAGGTGTCTGTTGAAGATCCAACATGGCTGCACCTTTCCTTTTGGAAGGAGGTGTGCATGAAAAGAGACCATCACAGCCTGAGACAAGAAAATGGAGCTTTTAAGTCTGAATCTGAGGCAAACTCTTTAGACAAGCTTGTGTGTGTCTTTACATCTGTTTCTCCCTTGGAAAATGTCAGCCTGTTGTTACAAAGAGTCATCTTCATGGCCCTGTACATGGGAAAACACAAATCCAGATGGTGTCATTGTTTGGTTTGCTAGCTCTTTTTTTCTTTTGGAATATTTTTTTTGGAACTTTGTTTAATATTAAAGATTATACAAGTTTTATTACTTAGTAATAAAATCAAGTCAATGAATCAGTGAGTCTCTCTTATCATCTAATGACCTAATATTTGCAGTAGATACTGTATCAACTTTCTGTTGAAGTATTTAAAAACAAATCATTAGCTACCTTTTTGGGTAAAATGACAAGCAGCTCTATGCTCATCTATACACAGGCTTCTCAAGAAAGTTGGTGCTTTTTTAAATCTCTGGGTTATATATCCAGAGCTATTTAGTAAAGAACATGAAATATTTGGTCTCTCTTTGATTTCAAGTTTCATTGCTGGACTTCTGCCAGTAATGGAGCTGGTACAGAGCATGACTTAACGCCAGGCCTGGGATACAAACAAAGGAGGATCTGCTAAAAGTCCTTGTTTCTTCTTGTTTGCTTTTATTATGCCAAAGATTAGAAAGAGGAAAACATAGACATTGTCTGGGTCAAGCTGAACTGCAGCCCAAGGACAGAGCCCTTTCAAACTATTGTTGGAAGCCTAAATATGCTCCACATTGTTGCCTGGGTGGTTGAAGTCTGCTGTCAGATACCTGTCTTCAGTAAATCCACCAAAGGAGCAGAGTTGTTTTGTTGGAATGACCAGATAAGATTTGAACATTCAAAGTTAAAAGGTTGTGCTGTACTGGAAGCTTTCTTGTGCCTTCAGTATTTCTCTTTTGCTTCTTCAACTGCTCCATTTTCAAGTTCATATTCAGAGTAGCTCATCTGCTATCAAAATTCAGAAACCCTTCATAAACCCTGTTTATCCAGATCTGTATTCCTGATAGTGGATGCACTCTGTGCCATGGGAGGAGTGCTGCTACTTAGGCTACATCAAGAGTTTTCCAGTCTGTTAAGTGATCTTCACAGGTATATATTCAGTAAAACATGATGCCTGTGTGTGCAGCGGTAATAAAGAGTCAAAGTTTATGAAAAGCTTCACATCAGCTACCATAATTGTTCCTGTGAAACTGGCAAAATGGATTTTTCTTATTGCAATTTCCTGTTGTGGGGAATTGGTCTAAAATTCAGACCGTAGATTATCTATTTTAGATGGTCTTCTGTGCATAGGTATTGGAACTCTTGCTTTTGCATGTGCTGGTGATGTACTGATGAGAGGTGTGGGAGACTGGGAAAGTGCTGGCAGTGTACAGGCCCAAGGGGAAACTGTGTGATGTGCTTTGGGGCTCCTGGTACAATTTGATGGTTCTGTTTTTGAATGCAGAGTTAATACTTTGTGATGGAAATCCAGCCAGCACACAGAATGTGAAAAGAGATGTAGATTTGGGAGGACTGAGTGCATTTTGATGCTCCTGTCCCCTAAATGGCTTCAGCAGTTAACCACTAGCAGTGTTCAAATAGAAATGACATGTATAAATACATTGACCTTGTTCTGCATGGAGAGTCCTTTGCTTCAAAGGGGGAGCTGTTTCTGGATTCAGTTAAAAAGAGAGATCTGTAGCCTGTCCCAAGATTAGCTCTAGAAGACACTTCAGGTCCAAGTTCTTTCTTAGATAACACAAATCTTCACTGTCCTGCCGACAGTCTCTGAGGTCCTGTGCCCTCTGGTTGTCTGAGTGCTTAAGCCTGCAAATGGAGAAGAGCTGGAGAACAGTACCTGAAATAGGTTTGATGCTGAGAAATTTCCTTGTTTTATAAAGAAAGCTCATGCTCAGAAAGTTCATGTTCAGGCTTCTTTGTGTGTGTGTGTGTGTGTGTGAAGGGAATGTCTCCTGGCGCTCAGTGCAGTTCTTTACATTAAAGTAGTTTGTTAAAGTCCTCCGTACTCATAGAAAACAACCTCCACTCCTTCATCTTCATCAGTTATTTCATGTTTGCCTTACAGAACTTTTTGGAGGCTCCTTAAGGCAACAGGATGAGAAATCAGTCACTGGAAGGTCAGCTTAGATGTTCCCTTTCTGTTGAGATGGTGCCTGGTGTAGAATGGCCTTGAGATCATGCTTTCATTCCTGTTAAATTTCGTTATGCTGTGTCAAGCTTACTGCTTGGTTGATCTTTTAATACGATTTAGAGCTATTATCATTAGAAATAAAGCACTGCCAGGTTCCTTACAGAAAGCATAAAGCAGCCAGGCTCTCTCTGGAAATACTTAGAGTATTGTGAGCCAAAACAAGTAGAATACACCAATCCCAGGGAAGCAAGGATACTCCTTAATGCTAAGGTGAGCATCAGGAAGATTTGGGAAAGTGCACAGGGAGGTAAGAGGGAAAAATCATTCCCTCCTTGGAGGGGAGTAAATGCAGTAGAGTCCACAGGCAGGACAAATGCATGTGTGAGGGGAAGGATTAGTATGTACAGGGGGCCAGGATGGAAGTATGGGGAGTTTGAATTCAAGGTGGAACCAGAGACTGGTAGAGGCAGAGGGGTGGTCACCACAGTGTAAAAGGAAGAGCAATGCACGTGTCAGAAGCACTGGAGGATGTTTGCAGTTGGATCTCTGCTGAGGTCACATTTCAGAGCTGTGACATGTTCTGTCTGACTCCTGTGCTTACTTACCTGCTGCCCCATCAGGGTATTTGCTGTCTGTAATGTGCTCATCCTCTCAGTGTGCTTGTGAAGGTGCACACCTTGGTAACTCCCTGTCTTTTAAATTGGGGCATAGAGTGGCTAAAAGAGCTGTTATGCTTTAGATACGTTGAGATACTCAAGTAGAGTTTCATGATCAGCAAGTTTAAGCTAATGCCCTAATCACTGGATCATGCTAGTTCCACAAGGTGTCTTAAGAGAGCATATGCATAACACACATAGGTGTGTTAGATGTATTAGGTAATAAGATACTTCAGCTCTTAAAAAAATTTAAAGACTCATCTGTATTTGGAAGCTAACTGCTCTGCTTAAGACTCTGGAAGTAGAAGGGACAAGAGACTCATGAAAAACGTCTGTTCTGTGTTTTAATGACTTGAAACAAACCCAACTTCTGCTCCAGTGAGCCGATGAAGCTTTTTATCCAGGCTGCAGTGGAAGGGTGAGACAACAGCTGGGTCTGACAGTCTTGATGACTGACTGTGCAAAAGGCTGCCCCTTACTTTTCACAAATTGGCAGCAAGGTTGAACATATCTTTGGGGAATTCATTCTTTGTGTTCTGTGGGGATTATTAAATATGTCAGACGCGTGTATTGCCACTGAAGTGTGCCTCATGCCCTGTGCAGGAAAGCTGCTTGTGTGTTGGGGGTGATGCAGTGGGCTCATTAACCCCCAGTGCTGGATCCTCTTAGCCTCAAAAGAATAATCCCCTTTTAGTAGCCATCAATTCAGACTATGTAGTCAGCAGAAAGCAAAGGTTTGCCAATGCAGGATGGGGGCGGGGTGGGAAATCTGTGTCCCCAGTCAGAGTCTGGAGTGAAATCCCTTCATGGGAATAGATCATGCCATTCTTTTCTCTCCAGCTCAGTAGCTAGCCAAGTGCATCTCCTAAGGCCACCTCATCATACTCCTACGTATGTTTTGGAGTAGGTTTTGTTCCTTGAAATAGTCTATTTAAATGAAGTAGAACTTCATGGAAGTCCATTACTTGCCAGGAGCATTTACCATGCATTTGCATGAATGGATTTAAAGACATGAGTGGAAATGTAAAGATGGCTTTGGGAAGTTGAGTAAAACAAAGGCAGGGGCTAACTTTGGAATTATTTGTCTGATTTTGAATAGGGTGAGATGGATGCTTGTGTTTCCCATTGATTTTATGGGGCCTCGTTGGGGCAATGATGAAGGAAATAAACCTCTGTTGTAAGGAACAGAAGGAAGTTTTGTTGGGTTTGCAAAGCCAATACCTGGCAGCTGTATCTGTGTTCATGGCCAAGATGCAGTAGTGCAGTCATGACCTCAGTGAATGGGGAATTGAGTTCCCAAGATGAAGATCCATGAGGTCATTAACTTTACTTTGTTCTTGTAGTCAGGCAAGGAGAGTATGAACTCAGAGAAGTAGCAAGCAATGAAGGCACAGTTAGAGCAGCAATCTCTTCAGCTCTGCCAAAAAAAATTTCAGCCCTAATAATCCAGTTCTTGACACTGTCTTCAGCCCAAGTAGAGGACAGCAATAATAACAACATAAAAGAACCCAGATGTAGTTCTGAGCTTAGTTCAGACAGTTGTGATGTTCACTTGCAGTAATTCAATACAAGGCTGACCTCAAGTTAGCAATGTGTCATCTTTCTTCTCCTAATTGCTTTTCCCAGTCCTGCTCACAGCTCTTACTGTGGCACTTTGCCACTGGCTCCCTTCTGAGTTGATGTGGTTGCAGCTCAGGTTTTGCTGCTGATAGTGACCCTACAGGAGAAATTGGCCATCCTGAATCAGTTAGCTGTCCTGTTTGTGTTTGTTTGAAATGTCAGTGTCCCAACTGTCTGGTGACTTCCTGTGTGGCCAGTGTCTGTTTGCCTCCCCTTGAAGAGAAGCTGGTCTTAGACGTTTTTAACATTGTCTGTTCTCTTAGTCTCTCATAGTCTTGAGAAGAGGAGTCTCAAGGGTGACCCCATTGCTCTCTACAGCTCCCTGAAAGGGGTTGTGGAGAGGTGGGGGATGGTTTCTTGTGCCATGCCTGCAGTGAGAGAACTAGAGGGAATAAGCTGAGACAGGAGGGATTCAGATAGCTATTAGAAATCTTTTTTTCACTGTCAGGATGGTTAGGCATGGGAAGAGGATATCCAGGAAGGTGGTGGAGGATATGGTTTAGGGGTTACAGCAGAGTGACAGGTGGCCAGTTGGACTTGATGATCTTAAAGGTCTCTTCCAACCCTTATGACTCTATGATTCTTCTCCATCTCATTATTTTTCCACACTCTTCAGTCAATCTAATGCCTTTTTAAAAATAATATATCATTGTTTTGCAGGAGTATATTGATGCTCATCCAGAAACCATTGTCCTGGACCCTCTCCCGGCTATTCGTACACTTCTGGACCGATCCAAGTCTTACGAGCTAATTCGGCAAATAGAGGCTTACATGCAAGGTAGGCCAATACCTGCTCTCCCTGAAGGCTTTGATTGTGACTAGAGAAGGAAGCATCTTGCTTCTGGAGGCTGGATGTGTAGTTTGAAGTAGAGATTCTGGGCCCCTTGCATTTTGTCTCTCCATGGGAGCAGAAACACTGAAGCATTCCTGTGTCACAGGATTGCCCTCTGGAATCCTGGGCTCTTCTTTTTCCATACATGAAGGAGGTTTGTATCTGGTTAAAAATATGATGTGTATTTAATGGGTAGCATATTTACTACATTGAGCAGTTCTAGTGCTCACTCTATCTGGAATATCTTCTGGAAAACATTGCCTTGTTGTGTGGTAAATTGAAGTGACTGTACAAACTCAGCAGCTTGTAATAAGAATCCTGAGGCCTGAATTTGCGGGAGGAGAAGAAAAATTGGTTTTGGAAAGGACTGAAAGAAATGAAATTGTATATGGAGCTAAGGTCTTTGAGAAGCACTGGAAGCCTCTTGCACAAGCTAATTGTGCAAGAGGAGCATAAATGTACTTTTGGTGCTGACTTGTTACCTGACATAAACTGTTGCCTTTAATTGGCATCACTTGAGTTGTATTCCCACATTTAGAAGTCATCCCTTTTCAACCTGAATAATTCTATTATCTTGTAACTGCTGGGTGAAGTTAGTCTTTCGTTTTCTTTCTACTTCTGCTACTGTCATGTTCTTGAAACATTCATTGGCTTTTGAATTTAAATATAGAATAGCTCTGAAGTAACTATTTCATATGTTAGGTGACTGTACTTGAGGAAAATGGGATGTTAGTGGAAATAGAACTGAGATTGTGTTATCACTGTCTTGATGGGCAGATAAGAAGCTCATCAATTTGTATTTTTATAGTTGTGGATTTATAGACATTGTTTGCATGTGACCTGCCTGGTCCCACTGGCAGTGTTTATGTAAAAACAAAGCTGATAATTCTCAGCCCTCTCCCTTGTCTTTTGGCATCTATTTAGGAGAAAATGCTCAATTAGTTTAGAAGGATTTTGTTTCGGAGTGGTTATTGCTGTTTGTGAGTGGGAGGGAGATGCTGAGGGAAACCTGTGCTCTGAGGAAGTGGTTGGGATTTTGTTCCAGCAGCAGAGAGATTCAGCAGAGTTTGGTTTTGTTCTTTTTTTTTTTTATTTTTTCTTAAATTGCTATCTGGTCTATTGTTATCTCTATGAGAACAATATGTTCGGGACAGCATCCAGTTTTTGCAAGTAGTTTGTCTTCCGCATATTTCAGCCTCTTCTGGTCAAACTGATGAGAAAAAGGAGTAAATGCTTAAGGAGGGAAATAAAAAAGCAAATTCATATTCAGTTAAAACTTGTAATGTAAAGAGAAGCTTTTAATAAAGTTGAGGAATGGAGTAAGGAAAAGCTTCACCTATTCTCACTGGCTGCGGCAGTGTTTGCTGACCGTGTGTACCCCTCTCCCTGGCCCTTTCCTCCCCAGTCTCATCTTATTTCTGTCTCATCATCAGAAATATCTTGACAAAGTCCTTGAACCAACTCTGTATTTAGCAGGGGAAATCTCAGGAGAGCTGAATAATTGCCTGACTTCTTGTTCTGGCCTAAGTAGCTCAGCCTCCGTATTCCCGCACATGATGATCTGCAGTGAGAGAAAAGTTACACCCCTCTAGACAGCGTTGTGAGTTTTTCCCCCTCTTCCCTTGTTTTCACCTGCTAAGTTATGTTTTTTCCCGTTGCAGCTGTCATGTCATATCCCAAGGTCATGAGCACTTACAAAACTCAAACAAGAAGTAATACATCTGTGAATACCATGAGCTCCTAGGAGGCACATCTTTTTTTGTTCTGGAATTTCAGTAGGGAAGTCACTACCAAGAAAAGAATGTGTTGGAAAGATGCTTTGTGGCGCGCTCCCTGTCTTTGCTGCCACAGTCTGTGGCCACTAAAGGAACTGAGGTGGAGGAGAACTAGTAACTAGGGCAGAGTTGTATGTGTAGTCTGAGGGGAACCATGGGGTTCAACCTGGGCTTTCCATGTCCTAGTCTGATGCAGTAACCACTCAGTCCTTGTGGAAATAGAAGGTTCACAGACTTGCAGAATCACTGAGGTTGGAAGAGACCTATTGAGAATATATAGTCTTAACTCCTTGCTCAAAGCTCTAAAGCAGGTTCCTCAGGTCCATGCCCAGTTGGGTTTTTTTGTATCTCCATAGATGGAGACTGCATAACCTCTCCTGAGCAACCTGCTCCAGGATTCACCTTGAACCTGCTGTGCTAGCCTGCAACTAGCAGTGCTGAGGTGATTTGCAGAGATTGGTGCTTTATTCAGTACAGATAGTGATATCTCCCTTGGAAGGAAGTAGTACTCTCTTCCGGGGGAAAAAAAATGCTTCAAGAGATATTTTAACATTGATTTTAATGGATTCTATTTTGGAATCAGTAGTCTGGCCAGGGCTGTGACTTCCTCTTTTTCCTGTTCTCTGTTATTTGGAGTGCAAGCTCTAAAAGAGCTACTCGTTCTGAAACCTTCACTTCTGAGTCTTTTTAAAAAAAGATTTGAAAAAATAAAGGTTGCATTCCCAGCTAGTGTCCTACATATCTGGCAGGTCTAGGTTGAAATAAATCACTGAATGGATTTTTTTTTGGTGTGGTAGATGGGTTCTCTCAGCAGCTTTATTGCTTTGTTGACTTACCTGTGAAGAATTGCTTCTTATATAAAAGTGCTTTAGATCAGATTCTGTGATCTTTGGTGAAAGATTAGGAGCATTATTTAATGGAAATTTCATTTTTTAGCCGGGTATTGTAAGGTTGGAACTGTGTCAGCCTTTTTAAAGCTCTAACCTAATGAAAAATAACTAAATTATCTGATGCTGTGTTGAAAAGCTCTGATCCTACAGCTTCAAAATTCAAAATCTGGCACTTAAAAATTATGCTTAAGATGGTAATAGATAATCACTATGACCAGGCACTAACTAACCTTTTTATATTACTTTTTTTTTGTTTAAAGATTAAAAGCTTTTAAAATTCCCTGCATATCTTACAAATAATAATATAAACTGAAGGAATTTGTAACAAAACTGAAGTAAACATGCTGCTCAGTCAGTGCTCTGCCTAGTTAGTGTTCCCATCTGTGCTGAGCTTCCCTTGCTGTTTCAAGTGACTTCTGGTTTTGCTGATAATGTTTGAATATTGAGACCTTAGAGTTCATTTCTTTAACTGCTTGCTCCTAACTTTTTCCCCCTATGATTTAAAAATCTTATTCTCCTTAGATTCATAAATTTTAGATTTGGAGTTAAATTTAAACAGGCACTAGTCTTTGTAGAGTTCTAGACAGAGAACTCCTGCACGCACCAAGCTGCAATTCCTGACTTTCTCTCTCTCTTAACAGCCTTCTTTGAAGTATGGGAGCTATTCCCTTGGGGCACTGTAAACAGTAGAAACCCCTTTAGCTGTGATATTTTCATCCTGGTGTGTAATAGAAATTGTTTATGTTTGATTGTTTACCATTCTGTGAGATGCTGTTGCTGCTGTGTGTGCTCCTGTCTGATCTTGGGGGATATTACAGATCACGGCATCCTTCTCTATTCCCTGAATTTCTTTTTGTCAGATTCTGTCTGTCTTAGACATACTCCTTGAACAGCTGCATGTATCTTTTGTTACTGGGAGCAGGCTCAGAATGATGTCATGGGTAAGGCACTTAATTTGGGGCTCAGGGTTTTCTGCTTGGCACTGGTTCTGACTTGCTGCATGGCTTTGGGCACAGAATGCCACCCCTGCGTGGCTCTCTCTGCTCTTAACACCCATCTGCCTGTCTCTCCCCTTTAGATGCCACTTCATTTTGGGCAGGAACCTTTATTCCAGATATGCATACACATGCTCTGACGCAGCAAGTCTCTGGTGCCAAGTAAGCTGTGTAGGTATTGTTTTAACAGAAATCATGGGTCTGTTGTTGAGTAGAAAACTGCAATTACAATTCAACACCGAAGCAGGTAGTCAGGTTTTATTGTTTGGAAGTTGTGGAACATGTACACTACTCAGAACTTCTCAAAATCAGGCCACCCAGTTAAAAGTGTGTGAAAATAGCTGTATATACATAGCTCTGGGCATTCACCTTTTGAAACTGTGGCTTCTGCTCTCTGTGGCCTACTTTTCAGAGCAGTTTTGGTCAGAGGGGAGAGAGAAGAATAGTCACACAGGTCAACTTCAGTCACCTCTGTCTGTGTTTGAAGCTCTTATTAAAGTGAAAAGAAAAATCTGGGTTTAATTTATAGGCTCTTAATCTCAGGTCTTTATGTAGGGACATATCAGTAAAGCCTGATGTAACCTGCTGCAAATAACCACACCAGGTTTTGGATGCAGAAGTCTCCCTTGTGGATTGTATGCTCTCTTCCCACCAAGAACACACACAGATGTCTCATTACCTCACTTCAAGTGTGTGGTGCATGTTCACGCACTGGATTTTAGTTTCTGTCTGGAAACTGGTATACATGAGTGGAAGGAAGAAATTGGAATGGAATTAATATTCTCTGTGACTGGAAGGAGTTTGTCCATAGTGCATCAGCTCACAGCAGCATTGCTTGTGGCAGTGCTCTGTACCCAGCTGTCAGCACTTGGTAGGTCTCAGCCCTGCTCTGTCAAACTGGAAAGACTCTGGGACATTTGACCCAGGGATGTGTCACCTGACATCCTTCTCATAAAAGCTCATTCATTCATCTAGGAGGGGGTGACAAAGGGACACGGATATGGTAGTGTTATGACAAACAAGTCCTGGCTTTGAGATTTAGACAGCTGCTTCCAAAGGACTAATCCTGTCCTGAGAGAGGTGGCAGGAAAAGAAAGTAGGAAGCCTCAAAAGGAGCCTGGAATCTCCCGTGTTGTACCATTCTCTTCTCTTGTTAAAGTAGTTTACGAAAGTATTTTCTAAGGTAAGAATGTTCAAAGTTAGCCATTTCATAGGCAGAAAATATGAACAGGCTCTCCTGTCCCTTCTTACCTTTTCTTCTTCACTTCAGGTTTTCATTGTTCTGG